CTGATGTGCTGAACTGATGCCGTGCAGTTTGTAGTTTCATTTACCTTCTGCTGCAAAAGGGAAGTGCCCGCCTGTGGGGCCAGCGTGCCCAGGGCACAGCCGCCCCCAGGCACCGCAGCAGGCAGCACCACTTGCTCCTCTCAGCAGCTCAGCTGCCGAACGTAGGCAGCCCTCACGCACGCTCTGAGGTTGGGGCTGATGGTGATCCCGGAGTGGGGGTGGGAGGAGGAGGAGAGCAAGAGCCCGAAGGTTAAAGCCTGGTCTCCCAGGTGGTTTTCAGCAGTAAAAATGATTCATGTCAAAGCTGCTGTCAGCCGCCCTAGCAAACCCGAGCAGTCCCCCGTTCTGCTGCAGGTGCAGGAGGTTGGGAGGTGGAGTCAGAAAGAAGCTGCTCTATGGGCATTTTCCCACCGTTGTCAAACCCCAGCAGAGGGGTTTATCGGTGGCTCTGTGCCCAGTGACACAACTTGCTTTCACTTCTGGACCAAGGGCTTCTCAGAAAACCGTTTGTTCTGCAGACAGCTCTCCTCTGGGGGCCGAGCGGATGGAAAGCCGTCATGTTCTCCCAGTGGGAGGGAGCTTGGGTCAGCATCCTTAGCTTGGAGCAGCGAGTTATGTATCCTAAGGTATGGTATGAAAACCACGTTTAATTGTCCATAAGCAAAATTCAGGCTTTCTCCAATCCGGGCAGTATTTTCAGCCCTTGTGGGCTTTATTCACATGGTAGGCTCCTGCACCAGTTCTAGTTTGCTCCAGACAGAGCTGTGGTGTAGCAGAGGTGACGTGGTTTGGGAACGAAGCTGTTGGGCGGTGAATGCTCTGTGTTGCCTTGCGTCTAGGGGATCTGTCCCACGAGAGGAAGACGAAGGCTGCGGTCATCTGTGAATGCTGTCTCCGCAGCACTCCTCAAACTTTTGGGGATGACTTGTGAATGTCTCACTCTCCCACGGCTCCGCTTGGTTGCCTCGAAAATGCCAGCAAGCCACCGTGGCCCAGACTCCGATGCACCTGATGCCTGGGGCAAAGTGAAGGGAAGCAGGACTCTGAGTCTCAACCGTGGCTTCTTGCTGCTCTCCCTTCGTGCTCCTGAAGCAAATGTGGAGCGACCGGCTGGGTCCCTGCTACTGTATTGCTCTACATAGTGGAGCGAGCTGCAGAGCTGTGGCTGTGGGAATAGAAACAGGCTCACTTGGGAGGTTAGAACGGGTTAAAATGAAACTACCGTTCCTGTTTTAACAACTTCTTAGCCTCGGAGGCACCAACAATTAGCTTTCATAGTAAAAAAAAAAAAAAAAAAAAAAAAAATTGCTAGAAATTGCACGCCTGGTTCAGCGAAGTCTCGTCTCTTCCCTACACCTAAATTAAGTTCTGCAGACAGTCGGGAGCCAGTCGCAAAACACGCCTCGCACAAGCACTTAATGGTCCTGTATTAAAATGAAGTTGCATGAAACAGCCCGGTGTTATGCAGCCGTGCTTGGCCGGGCTCATTAGCATCCGTTCCCACTTGAGCGCCTGTCTGGGTGTACTTTCTGCTCCACCCCGTTTCATAGATGTTAGGGGCTAGAAGGGACCTGACAGATCATTGGGTCCAGCCCCTCCAGCTGGAAAGTCTGCTGCGGTCAGATGACCCCAGCAAGGTGGGCATCAAGATGCTTCCTGATGCCCACCTTGCTGTGGTCATCTGATCCTGCCCAAGTGCATTTGACTTTGGCCTGCGGGTCAGCTCTGTGCATACGAAAGCAGGGGTGACCCAGAAGACTTGGATCTCCAGCTCGCCAAGCTCCAAGGTCTCGTGGCGGGACTCAGAAAGCCTGTGCGTTGTGGCAGCCTGCGTGGCATTCGTCAGCGTCTGATTAACTTAGTGTGCGGTGGCTCAAGCCGTCACGGCGTTGGCTCTTTACCTTCCAGGCCTGCCACTCTCCCGTATTGCCAGCACAAGCGTGTAAGCCTGTGATTCAGCCTTGTCCTTTCACTCCAGTGAGAAGTGATGCTTTGCGTTTTCTCTTCCTCCCCCTCCTCCTCCTCCCTTCCCCAGGCCCATACAACGGAGGCTGAGAGCCGCGAGCTGCACTCGCTGTGTGGGCAGAGATATGTAGTAGGAGGGTTCCCCGACCCCGGAGCCTCTGCAGTGATGCAGCCCATTGACGTCCTTCCTCCTGCATCAAAGGGTCGGTTGCTTAGCTGCCCGGTCGAGCCTGTCTCTCTTGTTCAGCATTAAAGCACGTAGCTGTGAGAGAGCCACATGCTTTGTTAAAGCAGGGCTGGCCGAGTGCCCGAAAACCAGTCTGGAGCAGTAGTGGAAAAATCTCATTAAGTTTTACAAATATTTTTGTTTTCTTCCCCTCTTCTCCCCGCCTACTCTTTTCTCTCTCTCTTTTTTTTGCAGTAAGTTATAATAGTTCTCCAGGGACCTGAGCTCCCAGCTCATTGGCGGAGCCCATGCGGCCGTGGTCATGTGCCGACTTCAGTGCTGCAAACACAGCCCGTCGCTGGCTGCACGGTTGGTTTCCGTGGGCCCGAGCTGATTGTCATGTTGTTCCTTTTCAAACCCAGCGTGGTACGGTTTCCTGTATTGCCAGTTGCTTGAGTGCCGAGGTCTTCGCCAGCTGAAGTCTTGACCGTGTGTCCCCCAAGGAGGCCAAAAAGAAATGCAAAACTCTTGGTTCAGAGATGATGCCTTTTAATAGACCAACTAAGAAATCGCAAAAAATCTGTGTCTCTTTTTGCATGGGTGCTGCTTGTAGCCGTGTTGATCTAAGGACAGAGGCAGACACGGTTCTTTGGGTAGATGCGATGTCTTTTATTAGACCAGCTCAGATAGTTGGAAAAATTCTTAGCGAGCTTTCGGGCATGTGCACCCTTCTTCAGGCTCAGGGAAAATTAAAGATGGTGAAAGTCCCCTTTAAAGAAGGATAATTTTTTTGTGTGATTTCTTAGTTGGTCTAATAAAAAGCATCACCCAGAGTTTTAGAGTTTTTTTTACTTCTTTTTGTCTCACACCAACCCAGCTACCAAATACGTCCCTGAACCAAGGAAGCCACCGTATTCATCTTTGTGCCTTGAGTCTCAAGGGTTGGGGGTCCTGGTTCTGCTGGGTCTTTATTTCTTCGGTGCTTATGCAGAGTTTCAAATGCGAACTCCGGTGAAATGAGTGGAGTTGTATTTTCAAAGCTCAGGCAGCTTGTATCTTGTATTGTTATCGCAGGCAAGTATTGACAGAAAAGGCGGTCTCTCAGCCTCGGTGCACAGCAGCAGTTGTTTAATCCTTAACTTGTAAAATGTCCTGGACACTTTCTAACCTGTTCCTCCCAGGTCTTTTGCGGGGAGACATCACATCCCCGACAGCAGTACCTTGCAGCATCACAGTGCTAGGCACAGATTAAGAGAGCGTTGGCTTCTTCTGTGGTGCATCCGGCATCTGTCACCATTGGAGATGGATATTCTAGTAAACAGGCCGTTGATCTTCTGCCACCTGCCACGTTAGCAAGTGTGCGCAGGTTGCTGAGCTATAAATGTTGGCCTGGCCCTTTTATAACAGGGTCAATTAGGAGCTTTAAATGGCAAGACTGCGAATTGAGATTAAAAGTATCTGCGGTAGGAAAGGACCTCAAGGATCGCCTCGGCCAACTCCCCTTGTAGAATGCAGGATTCACTGTTCCCGTCCCCTCCCAGACAGGTACCAGTCCCAGGTACTCTTGAAGTGTCCTGTGAGGACTTCAGTCTCCCCAGGCAGGGCGGGAGAGAGAGAAATACATTATTTTACAGGAAGTTGCTGACAGTATGCAATGCAAGGATATAAAACATCACACGTTAGAGAAAACAACCCATTTGACGTGTGAATATGCCAGTTCAAAATGATCAATGAAAGGATTGTAATGAAGGGGTTCGTGGAGTGGATGGGGAAGAGGGTCAGGCAATATGGACTCTGGACAGTTCAAGCCTGGGGTGCTGAGCTCTGTCCTGTGGCTCTCGGGCCTGTCGCAGGATAGCCGGCTGATGTCTGACAGGCAATCCCAGCGTGTCTCTGCTGTAAGCCGTGCCAGCAGACTGGTAAAATTCCAGTCACCAGGTTTAGGGTCACCCTTTTCCTAGCACGTTTTAAGGGAGTTTATCATGGGCTGTGAATTTCCTGTTGCTCTCGGCCCCTGCTGCACAGCATCCTTGAACATCGTGCCAGAAAACCTGGCTGGCTCCTGTATTGCTGTCCCTGTCACTTGTTCCAGCCGAGGTTAATTTGCTTTGCCACGGAGGTTGTGATTTTCCAGCTCTCATCTGGCTTCAGGCTGCCTATGGGGCTCTTTCGAACTAGAGCCCAGATTTGAGATCAACAAAGCCATTTATGGTAGATGCAGATGAGCAGAGATTTCTGGTCTAAAGCTTTTTGCTTAAAAACTGGCAGACAACCCCATTCAGAATCATTTCCTCTAGCACCGGGCCGGCTGGGTCGCATCGAAATACTGCACTCGGTGTCGTGAATCAAGTGCGCTTGATTCATTCTTTTCCCCTTTGTTTTTCAAAATCTGAAGCAGCAGAAATTCTTGCCGTGACCGAGTCCTGCAGGAATGCCGGCTATGCGAGAAATGCCCAGCATTGCAGAGCTGTCCGGCTCGCATCCCTTGCCCTGGCGTGGGCTCCCCCATGTGCCTAGACATTGTCCTGCCCTGGCTCACTGCTGCTTTCATTTTGGCCCTCGCTTCTGTCCCTTTGACTTGCAGGCCCTTGGCCAGAACACAGCCACTTGGCTGAAGGCTGCACAATTCGAGCCACCCTTGTGCAGGAGAGCGGCACTTTGTGACCTTGGGGCTTGTAAAAGCACTAAGAGCCCTTGGACTTCCAGGTCTGACATTACAGACTTTGCGCGTCTGCAGCTTCCCTGTTCTGCCATTAGTTAATGATGGTGGAAGAGCCTACACTAGGTGATGATTAGTGCTCTGTGATTACTTCGGAGTTAAAAAAAAGACTCGTGTCTAATTCCTTTCTCTTTTTTTTTCTTTTCCTAGGGATATTCCAGGACTAGTGGGAAAAGGTACGTGCACTTTGTAGCCCTTTGAGCCCTTCTTGATCAGTGTTGCATGACTGAGATGGGGGTAAGCTGTGTTATGTGATACGCTTGTGCCCAGCAGGAGTGGGTCTCTAGTCTCCAGCACTGCAGCATTCAGGAAACCGTGGCAGTGAGCTTTAAACTACCCTGTGACCCTCAGTGCGAGCCTTTGGGCAGCATTTTCTGGATCGGTCTGTGCCATGTGGCTCTTCCACAGCACTTGAATTGACTGCTCTTTCTGCAACAGCGGAGCATGCAGCTCATAGCCTCAGTCTCCGCGTAGTAGTGCTTGAGAGCCCAACTCTTGCTTGTGGACCCGGCTGTAGATTTATTCGGCTCCTTTGCTGTGTTAGCCCTCCCGGACATCCCTTTTCCTCCTCCTGTCTCTGCACACCCACGTCCCAGTTGTGAAGTTCCTTAACTCTCTTGCATCTCCTCATCAAGTGTGTTTTGTGGTTATGCCTCTTCCACAGCTGTGCCGCAGAAGAGCTCAGCCCCACAAAATCTGCATCTGCCACAGGCTAGCTGAGTTCCCAGGGAGATCTGTGGTGCTCCTCAGGGTCCATCCTGGCTATAAAGGGTCTGCAGATCTTTGTCCTAGATGTCTTGGGGCAGCACAAAGTCTGTGCATGTGCCAGAATGAGCCTGGCCTCCTGGTTTCACCAAACACATACAGAAGGATGGTTTTAGCAGAACCCATGCCCCTCTGCTTCATTCCTAGAGCAAGCAAGCTGTCAGACAGCCTTTGCGATGGCACGGACAGGACCCTAATGGCTTTGGGGATGTTGGTTCCTGTCATCGTGTCATTCAGAAAGCTGCCGTTGATCTGCTTGGGTACAAGGGGGTTCTGCGGACATGAAGCAATCGCTTCACCTTGAGGCGCTCGCTCCCTGTGTCAGCCCTTACTTGTCAGCTTTATAAAAAAGGGTCCCTGTGGTATTCCCTGTCATTAAAAAGAACTTCACTTTGCTCTCAGTACTGTTGTCAGGCAGTAAAATGAACCCCTGCCTTGGTAGGGGATTCTGTAAAGCCCCAATAAATATGACCTTCCAACTTTGCAGGGTCTGTAGTGAAAACTCTCTAAATTTCACTCTCGTGGAGGGTTGGGAAAAGTGCAAATAGCAGGACCGGTCGCGTTCCCATACTAGACCAAATGAACTGTTCGGAGGCACTGAAGCTCATACAAGAGGTACAGAAGCAGAAGTGGCAAATTACTGCTAAGGGAAAACCCTGGAGGGCAGTCGCTTCTCGTTAGTGAGTGTTTTGAGTGCATGTGGATGCATGGTTGTATGCTGGCCGTCTGTAAATGCTAATGAGTTTTGCATAAGATAAGACAAGGCCTTGTGGACCTTTTCAGTAGCACGTCTCCTTTTTGATCATTTATTCATTGGGAAACGTCAGGTGTATAAGAACTTCCAGTGAGGTATCCTGAAATGCTCCTGATCTCTTTGAGCGAGAAGGCAGGGTGGATATGCACCTTGATAGACTAACTAAATAAGGTTATATAGAGAGCGAGAGAGCACAAGCTTTTGTGAACCCAAATTCACTTCATCAGATGTTGGGGAAGGACATGCAGAAAGCAGAGTATCAGAAGGAGAGAGAAAGCTATGTCAAGGGCATGCCATCAGCTACAAGTCTAATGCTTTGTTCCAGTATTGGAGGCAGCAGGTAACGAAACTGTAGAAATGAGCAGCTTAGCCAATAAAATATTGGAGAGTTGAGGCTTTATTTCCCAACTGGCAGGACAGAAGTCATGAGGAACCTGATTTAAGAAACGTCAAACGAGTTTGAAGTTCCCATCCATTTTGGATTCAAACTTGAGACAGACCAGCATGCAGCCAGCTGCCCCCAGAGCTCGGAAGTCCGTTCACACAGGGACAAATGCATCACAGATCTGCATAACTTCTGTTTTCAGAGCACATGCTGCACAGGTGCAGCCTGGCCTCCTCCTAGCTTGCACCAGTATACAGTCTTCCTCTCTCGCAACCGTGGGCGTTATTGTGATGCAAAACGGATGCCTCACTAACTGGATCAAGGTAACAGTGCTATAAATGCCAGCCACAGCCCTGGGATCAGGCCACTGCGCTCGCTGTTATTTAAACCGGAAGTCATTTGCAAGCAAAATAAAGCAGGTTGAATTTTTCTCTTTACCAAAATAAAGATGTTGGCTCGAGCCAGTCACTTGCCAGGCAAAGCAGGATCTAAATGTGATGCGTCTTTTAATATCTTTTTAGAAGAGCAGTTATAAATGCTTTGGAATGCATCTTCAATCTACATCAATCTGTTCTTATGTAAACTTTCTTTTGAGTTAAGGGAATGAGGCATCATTATCTCTGGCAGATGCAACAGTGGGCAGGCAGTCTGAGGGTTTGTATATGCTTGAGAAGTGGTTGCTGATTAAGCTCGAGTGTGAAATGAGATGCAGTTGCTATTCTTGGATAACTTCATGTGCGGCTGCTCCTCTTCCACAATAAGCTTGCTGTATTCCCGTTCAGCGTAACCCACTTCTTAAAACCTGGGTTAAATTGAATGGGAACACGACAGTCTTATTCTGCAATAAGTACGCACTCGTGGGCTCTTCAGGAGCATGGCCAGGTGCAGACAGTCCTTTCGTGACCTCATCTGCAGAAGATCCACCCTCTTGGCCCAGAAAGACTCGTCTTACCAAGGCTGAGGACAGTCTCTTCCCTCTGGGCGTTCGGCACGGAGTCCAGCTCTAGAAGAAGCTGTTCTGTGCCCCTACAAGATCCTCACTGCCCGTGAGTGTAGTGCACTGACACGAACAATTTCTTACCAAGGACTAGACAGCTGAGATACCTGCAGGTACCTGACACTGCCATCTGCTTAAAAAATACTCTTATCTGCCCAGCTACACGTGCGCTTTAATGTGCATTAGCCTATTTTTAATGCATCACTAAAAATGTGCTATTTAGTTAATACACATTAAAATAGGCTAACACAGTGAACGTCACTAAAAAAGCTGCTTTAAGTTAATGCTCATTAAGACAGGCTCAGACACATTTTCCTAGCATCTCACAACAGAAGTACAATATTTAATGTGCATTAACTAAAACGCACCAGTGCACGTGTAGACGTGCCAGGGGTTCTCAACCTTTTTGGACTTGAGGCCCCCTCCATGATTTCTGTGAATTGAAATAAAACTAATTTATATATTCCAGCTCTTATTTCCTTGTGGAGGGGCTAGGCAGTGGAGGTGGGGCATCATTCAGGCAGGGACAGGCCTGCGACCGCATTTATCTGCTTGGCTTATCGTCTCACACCTCACTTATCTATTTACCGTATCATCTGCTTATCTCCTCACCCTTGAGGCACCTGTCGGAGAATCTGGTCCCCTGCACCCTGGTTGCGAATCATGGCTATAAGCACAAGAGATGGATGTGTCCCAGGGAAGATAGGACTAGGACGAATGCAAATCTGTTTTAAAAACAATCAGTTGGGCTTTTGGCAGAGCAGTGTTGCTGGCATGCCCCTTTTTTCCCCCCAAAGCAAGTAACTTGCAGAGTTTCTGTGCAAAAAAGCTTCGGCCTTATTTATGTGTGGTATCAGGTTAGCAGGTGCAAAGGCTTGGTGAAGTTCAGTGAAACTCAAGGAACTGAGTGCGAGCTGAAAATTGGGAAAGCCCAAGTTCCTGTTGTAGTCTAGGAATAAAACAGTGGGGGGAAGAGTGGGCGTGGAAGATGGCATCAATTCAGTCTTAAAAGCTTGAACAACACAGGGGCCAAGGTGTGTAGACCAAGAGCAGATGCCTACTCAGCCTGATGAAGGGTATTTGCACCCAAAAGCTTGCAAAGAAGACTTGTTCCAACTATTTGAGTTGGTCTATTAAAAGAGATCAGATTTACCCAAAGAGCCTTGTCTGCCAAGGTGTGTAAGCATGTCTGTGCATTAGAGGTGCTTAGATAGATGAGTGCTGGGATTCCCAGATGCATGACAGCCGCTTTGGTTAGATATACAGTGCAACTATTCATCTCATATTTTTTTGTGGTGCAGACTACTAAATATGGCATCTCTTTCAGCAGAAATTGTCTGCCGCTTTCTAAACAGACCCGGGAGACGGCTGAAACGGCTTTTATGCTCTGTTGTGTAGGAGGGCAGCTCTGAATCTAAATGCAAGCCCTACAAAATAATCAGGAGGCCAAAGGGCGGCTATTACCTGATGGCCATCGCTCACATGTCTCAGTGTATAACCCTTTGTTCAGGGCCCAAGTTCCTTTTTTTAGTCTCCCTGTCTTGTTGCCAGCCTCTTTCAAAACCGTTCACACTGCCCAGTCCTTAGCTAACTTTTGGGCTCACGCCAGGCCAACGTGACTTGATTTCCTGTAAAAGAGACAAAAGAAAGTGACCTCCTGCTTCCTTTCCCCGTCGCACTGAGATTCCACAGCCCAATGTGGGAGTTGCTCCTTGGTTGCAAATCCTCACATGATGTTGCAGTCATCAGCATTAGCAAAAAGACCCGGGGTTGTGTAAAAACAGCTGCACAGACGCTGCAGTCACATGGAGACTGGCCTTTTCTGAGCGCACCCTCGTTTTGATGGGTGAAGCAAGTGCAAAAGAGTCATCGAACTGGTCAGGCTGTATTTTCATTTTGTTTAGGGAACAAGCCTCTTCATTTTTTTCCTTGCGTGCAGCTGACTTAATTGAGGGGGCTGGCCTTGACAGCCAGGCTATTTTGAGCTCCTTGTGGGCACCTCCATTTTTTTTTTTTTGGCTCCTTGCAGAGGTCTCCGTAATAAAAACAAGATTTGCATGCAAAGAGAAGGGCAAGCGAGCACTAAAGAGTCATGAGACTGCTTGCCTGCCCCTGTGCTCCGGACACATGAGAGAGGCATTAGTCCTTATTGGCATGTGATGCGACCGCTACAAAAGGTCACGGACATTTATAGTGGAATTACCCGGGGTTGGCTCTCCACGGCCCGTTTTCAAAGCGTGAATGAGAAATCTCTCTGCTAATCATTGATTCGGGCCAAATGCTCCAGCATGGGAGTGGGCTTTATTCCACTGGCCTGGCTTAACCATTTGATTCAGGGTTTTTCTGCTGTTGAAGCTGTTTCAGCAAGTGCCAGGTTAGCGCCTTGCATTGGCAGTGCTGAGTCCTGGCTTCTGGTCTCCACCTTGCCATTGACACGCGGGATCCCCTCGTGCCCTGTCTGCCTTTTCAGCAGCAGGTCATAGGAGCAGGGACTGATGCTACTGCTTGCACGGTATCAGCCCTCATCTCAGCGTGGTGTCGGGACAGACGTTTTGAATTCTTGGAGAGCAGCACACGTGGGGGCACTGAGGCTGTAAATCTGCAGATGCTGCCAGAGAAATGATTTGCATGCAAGTTTAGAAGTCACCTGGTTGTTGGCTGCAGTTGAGAATGGCACCGGCCTTGTGTGCAAGTGGTTTTACTGGACGGATTTTGCTTTTATCCCTGTAAAATCCTTAGGTGCCTGTACACGAGCCGCAAGGCTGCTGCAATGCGCTCTGATTGCTGCAAGATTAATCGAGTCTACTGCAGCGTGGTCATTCCCATGCACCAGCCGACTCCAGTGTCATGTGTACCAGCGTTCCTGCCCAGAAAAATGGTGGTGGGGGCACTTTAACTAAAGCTCACTTGATGAGCTTTAGTTAAAATGCCCCTGCTGGCATTTTTCAGCGCAAGGATGCTGATACACGTGATGCTTCAGGCGCTTGAATTAGAGCTTAGAGGGGCTCTCGGAGCTGCTCTAATTAAAGCACCCCCTTACTCCCGGAGCATGTGTGTAAGCACCCTGATGTCTGGGTGTGAAGCTGGCTAGGAAGACATTTGGCTCTTGGTACATGGATTTAATGTGGAAGCAGTTACTGCTGAGCAAGGTTGCCGGTGATATTGCAACGATGGCCTCATGTATGAAAGTAGTTGGCTAACATTGTGTTCCCCTGGATGGACGTAGGGCCAGCCAGCAGTGTTTGCACTATGCAGGCATCTGCCGCTGTGTCGATCCAGTCGGGCTGGCTTGGAGAAGTGCCTGTTTGCTCGTCCTGGCTTCCTTTTTTTGGAACCTGGGTGTGTAGCATTTTTAACAGCTCCTGGGAGCAGTTTCTCTGCAGCGTGCTGTGTGCTAGCACCGCCACCCCTGGCTTCTCCGGAGACCAGTAGCTCTTGAAATTCCTCCTGGGTGAGGCAGCTGGACGCATGGGGCAGTTTGCTATTGCAGAGGAAAACGTTGGGGGTTTCCAAAGTGCCCCTGAGGAGCTTTGGGTCTAGATTTCCCCAGTATAAATAAAGCTCCCATCTGTGTTTCAAAGAAAACTCCCTTTTGCCTTTCTAAGGCTTTGCTGGCTACACAGAACAGGGAAACGTGGGAGCACAAAATTACCCAGGCACAACGTACTAGCGATGCTAAGGTGGTTTCGCAGGCAGGGCGCACCGGCCTTAATGATTTCCAGATTGCACGTAT